GTATTTCTTGCCCATGTACCTACAGAGATAAGCCATATGCTCGCACCAAAATCCTTCGCCTTACCGAAGGCGACATCGGGAATGACTTGCTTTTTTTATGACGTCTGTCCCCTAATTGATAATATTTGATAAAGAAATACATTATATAATCTGATGCGCTGTCTTCTTTTCTGCCGATGGCATACAAAATATGTTATTCAAATGATCTTCAGGTATTTGAACTGAATGTGGTGTAATGTTGTTCCAAGCGCACAAGCTAATTTTCGCGTGCGGCATACGAATAATCAGCAAAAAATGGGCAATTATTTTAGGAGTAAAGGAGACAGAATGGATTTCATTTGATACAAGAACCGAGGAACCGAAGTGTTGTGTTGAAGTTGCTCAAATCTTACCCTCAGCTCTGTCGTATTTTTCAGGATATTAGCACCCAGCATTTGCCCACACATGTGAAAAGATGAATAATTAACCAAAGTCACATAAGTCCGCTTCAGATAAAGACTTATTTCCTGCCCATTCCGACCGTGAGTTTAAGCATTCGCAGCCCTGTCTGTCGCCACGAAAAAATTGGCATCAGAACCCACTTGAACTTTGTCTAATTTTCGAGGCACCATTAACAATTTGTCACTTAAGCCTCGCTTGTTTTGTCGCAATTATTTAATGATAAATAATCCAACTATCATTGAACATTATTATTTTCTTTAATAAAACTCAAACTCAAACTCCTACAAATAAGCACATGTTAGTGATTTACCAATCCCCGTTTTGCAAACTAATGAAGACAAGCTCTGTGATGGTCCTGACGATAATTAGCAACACAAATTCTTCTCTCTATTACAAAAATCGACTTCTTCACATTTAGATATTTATATACAGATCACAAATTTCCAATTAAGCGGTGAAGTGAATAATGAAATAAACGTCATATGGCGTTTACAATCTCCTTTCACTTAAATTTGCGCAAACAACTGCATGGTAAATTAAGATTGTTGTATTAATATTTCACGGACAGATTTATAAAAACAGGCTATTGCTAAAATCTGGACACAATGAAAATAGAATTTGCCGAACACAATATTTTTAAACTAACATAACATTTGCCCATTGAGCGCTCAACTGCATTTTGATTAATGTTCTTAACTTATGGATGCGTGTTACATGCCTCAATCCACCTTACTCAACTAAGGATTCAAGTCTTGTCTGATTTATTAAATCAAACTTTTTTATGTGCCACATATTGGAATTATGCTTCAGTGACTTAGCTTTACTAAGCTTCACTAAGTTAAACTATGCACATCTTGTATGTTGGTCCATGCAAACTTATTTCTTCACTTCAGTTAAGTTTTGGAACGAACGTCAGGGCCATTCGATTTTATAACATAATGATATTTGTTTCGGCACCACGGAAAAATCGAAATATAGAGAAAAAAGCCAGATCATACAGTAGATTGGCCAACCCATGAGATCCAAGCATTTTAACACGAAACTCTCTTTTACGCAAACACAGCCAAACCTACGCCACGAACGTTTTACAGAAATAAAGTAGGGCGTATTCTATTATAAGAGGTTTAGAATAATTGAAAACCGTGCATACAATATAAACTTAGGTTTTATGTGGGAAGGAAACCCCTTCATGCAAAACACTGAGTAAATAAGGCAGCACAAATAGAATTACTTTGGAAAATAATTGTTGTGTAAAATGCTCCGAATGCGTCAATATTACGTGCAATGTTATGCATGGCTGTTGCCGAACAGCCCAAATTTCGAGTATGTCTTCCAACACGGTTTCGCCAGAATTGCTTATTGTTTTTTTCTGTTTTTACATCGCTTGATATTCTTTGGAATAAGGCAGCCAAACTTTCGCTTGCTTTGTCGATTGGGAAGTCACAGGAGTAATATATTTCGATAGATCACGCGAAGAGATGCTGCCCGGTGACCAGACAATTCAAATGGAAGTGTTATTAATATTTTGTTTACTAACAAAATTTTTTGCGATATAGATTACGATAATGTTCGGTTTATTCTTTAAATTAAGATGAACACCTTACGATAGTTACTAGCTTCATTCTATTGACCATGAATTTGGGTTATAATAAACGTGCTTACCAAAACCTTCAAAATAAGATATTCCTTTGAAAAAGTAACCTAAAAGTCCGGTTTATAAACCTTATTTTTTATGGAACTGTCTGCGTAGATCATTGTTTTACGACAACCCAAACATGCAAATATATTGTCCAGAAAAATGTACGTAAAGAACAAAGGTCGCGAGGGAATGTGCCTAATATTTATTTAAAATCTTCCTGTATAAAATTACCTCCTGATAAATGTCCTTCATTTAGATATTTTGATGACCTGTGGAATGGCTCGTTTCGTGAAGAATTTAGAGCGGAGACTGGAATCGGGCATCTTCGTGCGCAGCTTC